CGCTCTCCTTCTCCACCACCTGCTACCCTTCTCCCCCTCCTCCTTCGTCCACCAGCTTCTCCCCCTCCTTCTCGTTCTCCCATCCTCCTCATCACCAGACTTCGCCCTCCTTCTCCACCCAGCTTCTCCCTTCTCCCCCTCCTATTCCCACCAGCTTCTCCCCTCTCCTTCTCCACACATTCTCCCTTCTCCCCCTCCTCCGGTCTCCACCAGCTTCTCCCCCTCTCTTCTCCACACCTTCTCCCTTATCCCCTCCTCCTTCTCCACCACCGTTCTTCTTCTCCCCTGCCTCCTTCTCCACAGCTTCTCCATCCTCCTTCTCTCCAAGCTTCTTCCCTTCTCCCCCTCCTCTCCTTCCTCCACTACAGCTTCTCCCCCTCCTCCTTTCCTTCAATCCCTCCTCCTTCCTCCACCAGTTCTCACCCTCCTCCTTCTCCCTTCTCCCCCTCTCCTGTCTCACGAGCTTACTTCTCCCTCCTCCTTCTCCCCAGCTTCTCCCTTCTCCCCCTTCCTTCTTTTCACCACGCTTCTCCCCTCCTTCTGTCTCCGACAGTATCTCCTTCTCCCCCTGCCTCCTTCTCCACCAGCCTTCTCCCCCTCCTCCTTCTCCACCACCTTCTCCCTTCTCCCCCTCTTCCTCCTCCACCAGCTTCTCCCTTCTCCCCCTCCTCCTTCTCACACCAGCTTTCCCCCCTCCTCCTTCTTCCTTCTCCCCTCCTCCTCTCCACCAGCTTCATCCCCATCCTTCTTCTCCCCATTTTTTCTCGCGAAGTTCCTTCTTATCCTTCACATTCAGAAAAACGGTAAATTGATCTGCCAACTATCAGACTCCATTGTGGCAGTTAACTGCCGAAACAAGTACACCATGATATGGGTCAAATCCAATGAATAAAACGCGAATAATACTCTCACTCTATCATTTGCTTGTAGTGACCTCGAGTATTGTTTGACAAACTGTGACGTCACGAATCGGAAAGAGCGATGAGTACTGAAGCAGTGTGCACTGACTCAGAATTAGCAGACGATGTTTTTAAACTATATTTGATCTCGATATTTTTTCATGATTTAATAAATAAATCGGGTGACAATACCTTTTCTTAGATGTTTTATCAAATATATATATTGATTCTTGATAATATCACTTGATTTTGAATATTCTGAAAATCTCACCTTTAATTCAGGCTAGTTGAAATTTTAATCATGCAACAGTTTCTCTCTCTCTCGTCTTAGTCTCTCTCTCTCTCTCTTCTATCCTCTCTCTCTCTCTTCTCTCTCCTTTCTCTCTCTCTCTCTCTCGGTCTCTCTGCCTCCTCTAATCTCTCTCTCTCTCTCTCTCTCTTCTCTCTCTCTCTCTCTCTCTCTCTCTCTCTCGTTCTCTCGTTCTCGTTCTCTATCTGATTCTCATAATCCGTTCTCTCTATTCTCGTTCTTTCTATCTCTTATTTCGTTCTCTCTATCTCGTTCTCGTTCTCTCTATCTCTATCTCTCTTCGTTCTCGTCTATTCTCTTTCTCTCTCTCTTTCTCTCTCTCTCTCTCTCTTTCTCTCTTCTTTCTCTCTCGTTTCTCTCTCTTTCTCTCTCTCTCTCTCTCTCTCTCTCTCTCTCTCTCTCTCTCTCAATCCTCATAAGAAGAAAAGAAGTCAAATAAGTACAAGAAATGTATTAGAATAATTACACATTAATAATCATGTGAATCGCCTTAACCAACATCGCATACAGTGGGTCTGTGTGGTACGAAGGAAGCTTGTGGGACAGGAGGATGTGGCAGCTGCACTGTCATGATATCCTCGTTCGACCCCAGTCGGCAGAAGATCTGCCACTATGCGGTGTACACGTGCCTCACCCCCGTCTGTGCGGTGCATGGCATGGCTGTCACCACCGTGGAGGGAGTGGGGAGCAGCAGGACTAGAGTTCACCCTGTGCAGGTATGTGCAAGTGTCAGGAAGAGGACCATATGTTTCCCATATATCGTCGGACCTGCGACCTGACTAACTAAATTCGTGTGCAATTTTAGCACAGATCCTTCATGCATAGTGAACTTGGCATGTTAGGCTTGGCATGGAACTTGGTATATATAGAGCTTCACACTGATGTAGTTAGTATTTTGTATTAGAGTATATATAGGGTTTTGCTAGTACATACGTATGCAATATTCCCTCCTTATCACTGCTCTAGTGGATTTGTATTTAAGCTCATACTTAATGTGTGAGAAACAAATGTAACGGTTATAATTACATAAGTAAACATTAGTTGGAAAGGTGTACTATACGTGCATGTTGTGACTGGCAGTTTGTTCCTGATTGCAGGAACGATTGGCTAAAGCTCATGGTTCTCAATGTGGTTTCTGCACACCAGGATTTGTCATGTCCATGTATGCTCTTCTAAGGAATGACCCTACACCAAGATGGAACACCTTGATGAGAAACTTTCAAGGTACTGCCTACAGCTTTTAGTGTCAATTTAATATTCTTCCAATTATTATTTGGCATGTAACCATTAATTAATATATGTTTTAACTACTTGATATTGATCACTTATCCAGAATTTTTTTTATATAAGGGAACCTGTGCAGATGCACAGGTTATAGACCTATTATGGATGGATTTAAGACCTTCACTGAAGACTTCCAGACGTGCATGAGAGAACAGTGTCCCGGAGGGAGCGGCTGCTGCAAGGGTGACTGTGGAGCTATACCTGCTAGCTCTAATCACACTCCTGTAAGTTGGTCTCCTACAGTTTAATCTCCTGTAGAGAAGGGATGTATGAAAATGAAAGGAATGAATGGTCAATAGCAGCTGTGTGGTCATGTATTACATATAGATATACTTCAAGTCTTGTGAAACTTGAAATTGAAATACTTTTGCATTGTTTTTAATATCGGTCCTTCAATAGTTGAAACTAGTTAGTTTTAAATAGTAATATTGTTATTTATAGCTTTTCTAGTTTATTATTCATAATATGTATTTCTCGTATAACAGGTGGCACCCTCCCTGATGTCTGATGTTGACCTGTCACCTTTTGATCCAAGCCAGGAGCCCACTTTCCCAGCAGAGCTGCAGGTAAGTTTGTAGTACTGCATTCAAATCATATGCTCCTACTAATGACACATGTCATGTTGTACTGTGAAAATACT